ATTCTGAAAAAAATATATGTTAAACTAGAGAACTTTAGCTATTTTTTGAGCTAAAAATAAAAAATATTTGTTAGTAAGATTAAAACTTTTATATGAAAGAAAAAATACATATTTTACTAATTATAATTAGTAAAAAATTTAAGTGTTGTATTATTTTTGATTGCCATTGTATATAAGATAATTAAAAATATAATATAATTAATAAATTAAATAATTAATATTATGCTTGAAATGATAAATAAAAGAAAAAGAATTATAAATAAATTAATATAAAAATAACTATGCTAGTTAATGATTAATAAAAAATATTAAAGAAAATTTAGAAAAAGATAAAAGATTATCAAGAAATAAATAAAATAATATAATAAAATTAAAATTAAAATTATAAGATAAAGATAATAATAATATTTATAAATAAAAAAGTATTAAATTTCTTTATAAATAAAATATTTTTCTTATAGTTATATTTTTTTATAGCTATCTTTTTTTATAGTTATTTTTTTAAGTTTTCAGTTATTAATCACCTATAACTAAAAAAATCTCTTTATAATCATATATCTCTTTAGTTATTTAATTTGGCTTTTTTAAGTATAGTAATTATAAAGCGATTTAACTATATATATATAAATATAAAATTTAATATAAAATGATAATTTATATATATATATTATATTTTATTAATATTAAAACTTTTGCATTTATCAGAATTTATTATATAATTTATAATTTGCTATATTTATAAATTTGAAAAAATAATTTATAAAAATTATCAAAAACTAATAAAATAAAATATTAGAATTAATTCTTAAATTATTAGTAATTCAATTATATAAATATTTAGATAATATTTTTAAATTAATTTAGAAATTAATTATATAAAATATATATAGGATCGATAGCAATCTACATCTACCAGCATGTGAACAGAGTGGATATCGAGATGAAGCTAAAATATATATGTATATTATTGGGAGCCTATGAGAAACATTACTTTTGCTCTTATGAGCATCAGTGCACATTCTGGTTCAGCCGGGGAGGATGAAGAAAGAATGTCGGTACTATAAGAAAGCCTTGTGACCAAGGTCTTTTGACTAACATATACAATGCGTGTAATGAAATTAAAAAGGCTATATTATCTCTGAGAAAGAGATAGGGGACACCATTGGGATATATCAAATATCACAGATTTGAGAAAGCGTCTGTTGTGGAAATTTTCCATCAACAATTAACCCCAGAAAGAAGAATGCAGTTAGTTCGGCTTGAAAAAATTAATGTAAAACTGTGCAAGGAATGTCTTATACCTTTGAAATAACAAATTGTGTGACAATGTGAGACAAAGCATGTAATCCAGGCGAATAAGAAGCACAACAACTTAACAAAGAAAAGAGACAAATGAATAATTTCAGGGGAAATTGAAGACACGTTAATAAAAACAATTTAACCAAATACATATCAATATATTTTTAAGGTTACTTTTTTAAGTAATGCATCATTAATCGTTTACCGACCAATAATTGGTACATCATGTGTATGGACAAATTCCAGTCGGTTTTTTATGATGATGGCTTTTTTACTTGCACAAATACATGTACAGTAAAACCTTCACATTAGCCATACAATTTTCCTTTTGGGTATAACTGAGAAATAACATACAGTCATTTTACATTCACATGTAAATTTATTATTTTTTCAATCATACAATTAAACTTTAATTAGGAACATAGATTTTCCCAATCATACGATTTAGTTGTCATTGTTTAATGCCTTTATTTGCATTTTTTGTACATCCAACACTTTTTTATACTCAAACACGAAATACACGCTGCGCACAATAGTTTTTCCCACAATCGCGTAAAAATTTCCTTCGTAAATCCATATTTGAGCAGCCGATTTTATTCATGTATCTCGTGCATTTAATTTTATCATAGCTGTGTAGACAACACGTTACGTTAGCGCCGCCGCTTTTCTTCTCCGCAAAACCTGTCAAAACTTGCATGCAAACCTGTTGCTCATCATGGAGTTTATTATATTTGAGATTACTAAATAAAGAAAACAAAAAATTTTTCGAATCCGGAGCTTAATTGTTTGCTGAACGTAATTATGACGAGTGTAAGCAAATGAAAATTTTTTCAATGAAATTCATTCTGACTTGTGTAAAAAAAATAATCTCGTCTTGATATATTAACTTCATGTGATGTGTACAAAATGAAAAATACAGTGCATGTACATACATGTATTAATTCTTAGTCAGCAATATGTTGTGTTCTGACTATGCAAGTTCTCTGTATAAACAAAAATAAAGTTATTTACCGTACTCCGTTGTATAAAATAACCTTGCTATAAAAGATCCCACCAAGGGGTATTCTGTATTGTATTTTACGGAACCATTTAATGATACGTTTAGATCTCCATGGTTACTCGCGAAAAGTTTTCTATTAATATTACTAATAAATTATCCCTGCTCATGGTAAATAATAGTGCTTGTTCGATATTTAACTAACTACTTTTTGATTGAAATGTGATGATTGCATTACAATTATTGGGAAAACATACAGTCGTATCTTTCTATATAAGAGCAGGAATTTGAGAACCATGAATTAGTATATATATATATATATATATATATACTAAATCACCTCTATATATGAAAACTCCGGATTTTCTTGGCCGACAGCTGTTTTTATAGAGGTACGACTGTACATTGTAGTCAATCATCATTTTATTCCCGGTTTAATGCTTAAAGGTATATATTTTTTGCTATCTCGAAACAAATCAATAATATTATCTAACTGCTCTAAGCTAAGACTTGTTAAAGTACAATATAAAAAAACGATCACTTCAGTATGCTTTTAAAAAGATGTCTATTTAAATTTCATCTATGCATATATATATATATATCATCATCATCATCATCATCATCATCAATAAGAATATTTAAAATAAATTAGGTATATTTTGTACATGTTTCTTGGCAGTAAAATATAAAAGAAGTTCAACCAGAGTTAAAAATATCGAAATATCGGTCTTTCACCTCACATAATTCTCATTCCTTGAAAAGAATTTGTTGCTTATTTTTGTTAACATCACCTCATTTCTTTGAAATTACATATTCAATAAAATGAATCCGCAACCACGTCCACCACAACTACGTCTACCACCAACACCGGCGACACCGGTACATTTAAATATTATTAATGGGAACACCTTCGATGATAATAGGATTATTAACCCAATTCAAAATGACACTTTGATCATATTACTTGAATCTTATAGTAGATAAAAACAAACTCTTCTCTTATTGTTGACCTCTGGTTCTGTTCTGTTATATTCTGGTTTATTATCTTTTTATTTTTATTTATTATTCATCATTTCATCGTTTAAATCTTTATCATAACAAAGTTATTATGTTGTGTAATATTTTGCTTTTAAATTAGCACGTGTCACTTATTATTTTTTCAAGAATGAACGGAACTATTAGTAGAAAGTTTCGAAAAGGTTTGCTTAGTCTGATTTACCATATAACTTTTCTTGTATCAACTTTTGTTTCGGTTTGATGTTGGCTATAAGCGTAGTTTTTATAGGATTAAACTTTTATATTTTGATCTGATTCTATGGTTGTTCACGTAAATTCATCTTTCTTCTTACATTATTTATGCAAGATTTTATCAAGATCTGATATTTAAAAAAATGTAATTAATATTAATTTTCACTCAGAATCATGTTTAATTAAAATACAATTTTGGAATAAGACCAATCAAATTACATGTAACTAAATTAAATTTATAAATTTTCGTTTGGCATTGAAACATAAACGTGTGATGACTAAATATACTACCATATTGAACGTTGACCATCTTTCATATTTGTCATTTGTTTGTTACCGTAATGACATTAAATTTGTTGATATCGTTATAATTCCTTAATTCTTCGGTTGGCATGACAAGCCACGTTCTGCAGCATTGCTTAGATTATGCATGATAATCTAATTTTGCCTTTTTGCGCAAAAACATGTTTTTATAATTCATGGATTTATTATCCATTTCGATTGACATTATTTCTAAAAAATGTACATGTACTATTATATTATTTTCGTTTATATGATCGTCAAAAGAGATCAATTATAATTTACCTTATATAAGCCCATGAAAATCGTATTATCTTTGCTTAACAAATGAAGGAATTGTTTCGATTAATAATTGCATTCCTCATGCAATTAGAATAGTAATTAGATGAATAATTATAGAATCAACATGTATAATAACTTGCTCTCTAAACAAAATAAAGATACACGATTTCGTGGATAGATAATGTATTTCAAATTTCATTCTACATGTTTTTAAGTAATATAAACAAACGATCTTAGATATTCTTCATGCTCGAGCTCTACAATTGCTTAAAGGGAACATGTTTTAGCAGCGAAGAATAGTCTGCGCTCGGTCCTTGATCACATGATAATAAATTAATAACGACAAATCAAAGTGAAATTTCGATGACTATTTAAAAGATGAGGGAATTTTCTCCCAGCATTTTTTAAGTTAAATTTAGTATCTATTCCCGCATTTGCGCACTGATTATTCTTTCGCGCTTCAACATTAAGATCGGCTATTTAAGTCCCTTGTTAAGAGATGCTTTAATAGCCATTGTCTCTATCTTTGCGTCAAAACAAAAAATTAGACCACTATAAAAAATTAAAATTTTAAATATAATAGTTGCTACTCGGTGGGCTTCGTTTCTGGGATCTAATAATAAACCGTGAGGCTGTATGATTGCGAGGGTTCTTCTGCATGTACATGCTGTATCTTTTCCGCATAACTTCTAACGAATACGTTATAATGTCGTTCACCAATCCCAATCTCCATCGAATTGCCTGAACAATTTCTTATGTTGGAATCGCTAGTTCCTATCTTAAAAATAATCTAAGTTCGCAATAATTCGGCTATGTTAATGCTAAGTATTATTATTTAAAAAATAGTATCAGTAGAAAACAACAGAGAAAGAGCAGGCCATTGTAATAAGCAGTTATTATTGGTATCAACATCATCACAATTATTTTTAATTGATTCTTTCTTTAAAGAAGACTGCTTCTATTTTATTCCGCGTTGCTTTATATCACATTTTTTCCCATCCAGATTCAGTCTATTACAGCGTACAGACTAATGAATCATTCTTTGGTGCATCTATTCCATCAGCCATTAACTTCTTAAAGTAATGCATCATCAGAATGTGGCTTTGCTATTATCATTAACACGTCTTCTAACGAGGTGTTTGATCCCATGAATATTTTCACGTGGGTTGTGATCTAGATAGTGTCGTAGAAGTTAATGCAATGGTGTACATGTATCATGTTTTGTTTAATACTGTAATACATGCATAAACTAATGCATAAATGTAGATGTAATTGCATCCAAAAATTCATATGCATGTATGTTCATTTATAATTTTCTATATATTGACAAAGCTAAATAAATAGAATTTCATAACGACAAAATTCTTATACTAAGAAAGGAAGAATATTTAATAAAGTTTCTTTATTATGACTTCTAAAGAGTTAGCATATACGTATAATATAAATGAAAAATTTAAAATAGTAAAATGTATGGTTCCTGATTATATAAGGGAATATAATTGTGCAATAGAAAAATGCTCAAATGATTTGGGGTTCTTTAAGTATTCGTAGCCTCTGATGTTCGAGCAATTGGTAAAATTTCTTCACGATAGTGAAACAACATAAATACGTACTTTTTTCTAACAACAAGAACGACAAATTTGTCTCTTTAGAAAAGTAGTTAAGAATGTCTTGCTCAGTATCATTCAAGAGTTACATGTGCCAAATGATCTTGTGCAAATGCACGATTAGAAAGAGCATGAGATTAGTCTTTATTTATGCATCTTGATTTTTTATAGTTTATAGATACAAAGGCAACACTTACCCTACAGGAATATTGTGTCCGGTATTTTACGTGATTTATACGGGATATTACGTTACACATACAGAATTTTACGGAGTCATACGGAACGATCATAGGCGTGTCAGGGCTGTATGTCAGGGATGCGTAAGGAATGCAAAGAAGTCCATTTGGTATCTGCTCGGAACGTATCAGAAATTATGGACTGTATACGTAACGAACAGAATACATACGGAAAACCATAATGTATGTCAGAGATGTTTAAGGAACACAAAACTTTTGTTCGGAAATTGCCATAATATGAACGTAATGTATACGTAACGAACAGAATACATACGGAAAACCATAATTCATGTCAGAGATATATAAGGAACACAAAAATCTTTGTTTGGAAATTGCCGTGTTATACATTTTGATTCATGCCTGCTTATCGTTATGTTAGCGTTAGTTTATTGTGTAATACCAGAATAAATGGCTGTTCCTGATATAGCTGGTACAAATCACGTCATCTAATAACAGATGTGAAACATTTTTCCTACAGTATGTATCGCATTGTCATGTTGAAAGATTGCGTAGCTTCCAGTTAATTCCCTAATTGCGTTCTGGAATAGAAGTAATTGAGTTTTTGAGATTTCGAGGTAGGTATTTGCAATTATTTTTTCACCATTTTTTTTATAAAAAATTAATGGTTCTTCCACGAAATGTTCCCAAACCATTACAGTTTTTGCCCACTTTTAAAGGTAGGTGCCAAATAATTAACGTTAAACTTTTCTCCAGGATGCCGTCAAACTCTTGGCTGCTGTGACTGCTTTCCAATTTCCATACTGGTTTTATCAGAGAAAATTATTTTCGACCAATCATAAGCTGATTTACTTTTATTTTCTTCACACTATTTAATATGAGCATATGTATGTGTTTCCAAGATATAAAGTTTCTTTGCTGCAATACATGAGTAAAGTCTGGAGTTGTGTAATACATTTGCAATGGTTGATAAACTACAAGTGAGATCTAAATTATTGACTATTTCACGTAGTGATGCATGTTGTTTTTCGCTAGCTTCATGTATAAGTAAATTCTTTTCATGATTGTTTAAGGCTGTAATATTCCTAAATATGATAAGTTATCACTTTTCTGATTCATTTATATTTGTTTAGAAAGTAATGTACCATTATAGGGTCATGCCTGAGTATTTTTTGCGATTTGAGCAGCATTTGTGATGTTCATGTACATCAAAATCTTTCTCTTTTCAATTTTATTAAGCTGTATATAGGTGAACATCATTTTTTTTGGGGCAAATATGATAATTGATTATATAAAAATTTTACATATTTAGTTATGTGTTCATTTTGTTTTGATTTGATGATAATATATTTATAAATAGTCATTAAACTTTGACTTTATTACATTTATTCAAAATGTCATTTGAAAATACTACAGTAATATCAAAGAGTTCACTAGTACTTTATTACTTCCTGCTCTTCCAGAAGATCTTGATAATTTGCTATGGTTAAAAAACCAATATGATATTGTTCATTAAAGAAATAAAATAAATCTTCATCAGCTAATCAAACATTCTATTGCAGGAAAATATCTTTCAAATATTCCAATTGCACTTGTTACAAAAGTTCCTGAGCAAAGTGTTAGATAACTTAAAGTAAGAGTAGTTTTTATAAAATATATTAATATTTAATATTTAACTTTTATTATATAAATAGCAATTTCTTTGGAAATTATGGAAAATAATGAATATCATTCAAAAAGAAGTATTAAATATATATTAGAGTGTATTCAAGAAGGATGGTTTAATGAGGCAGCTGCAAAATTTAAAGAATTCTCTCATATAGAACCTAATTGGGTATATCATGAAGTACTTCATTAATGTATAAACAATAGATGTAAGTTGTTCAAAATAAAGTTACTCTATTATTAATAAAGTTTCTATTTATTATTTATTAAGTGAATTACAAAACAAATTGTGAAAAAAATAAACTATGCAAGAACTTAATGAGCTTTTCAAGCAAAACATAAAGGTCAAATTTATAAACCATACATAATCAAATCCAAGCAAAAAGAAAAAGAATGAGAAGACTATTCCAGTGGGATATTAAGCCAAGATGATGAAGAAATGATTCTAGATAACACAAAGTTTCAAGATAATTCGGATATGGAAGAAATACACATAATACAAGAATCAGTATGTATTTAGTCTATTATATAATATATTTATACTTAAAATATATTCTTTCTAAGATATGTTATTAGGAATACCATCTGAAATTGTCTTCATTGTATTTCTAGGACGTTACCAATTGTACCTTCATAACCAATTGAAGAAAATGCTGTTGATACATCTCACAGGCAAAAGAAATTACGAAAACAATGACATAATGACCATATAATTTCTAGCGATGAAGTAATTGATACAGTCAAGCACAAATTGAAAAAGTCTCGCAACAATATTGCATTGCAAACAACCATTTTCAGCTTACCACGGGTTAACAATGGGTGTTTGCTTCGTAAGTATAAGATCTTTATTTTTGTAATCGATTAATCACTAATTATTTAATGTTTTCTAATAGGATCTGGCAAGGAAACAACTTCACAAAAACTTTCAGAAGCTGGAATCATGAACAATCTGAAGCATTCAACGAAATCCAATCTATCCCACAGGAAAAACAGCAAGAGTCGTGGCAAAAAAGGGGATCAGTGAAGGCGTAGGGTAGAATAGTTATTTGGTCGTATGTAGTATAAATAATTGAATATATAAGAGATGTGAAAGTAATTGTATCTGGAAATTATACGTGATATATAAAAGTTATATACGCAATACATATAAAATGTGTTTGTTATTTTCAGGGTTGTGTGCGTAATCGTATCCGGAATTTTACGTAACATAAATAACTTTATATGGAATGAGCCTGGAATGTATAAGACATGTGCACGGAATATGTCGGAGATGCGCATGGAATATATATGATACGTGTTAGTGTTTTCCTGAAATTTATATATTATTCAGATCTGGAAAACATACGGAATTTTAAATTCCATATAATAATTCCGTACGCATTATGCTCGGAAAACGCGCCCATTTGTATACGGAATTAATTCATGACACATTGCTGATAAATTACTTACATGTCCGTAAAATTCCGGATGCAATTTTCCCGTGGGTTATGATCAAAATTAATATGTTACATAAAAATTCTCATGGCGCATATTTCCTTTATTGGGAATAAAACAATTAAAAAATTTACAACTCCGAATAGAATATCCGACCCCTTAACTTAAACCATGTGTAATGGTAATGCAAAGTATTTTCTGAGCACAAAGAATACACAGATACATGCACTTGTACAATCATTATAGATTTGAATTTTAATACATGTATTTAATGATCCGATTTTTTGGTATTAAGTGATCCAATCGAATGATAACATATTGCTTGAATCAGAACACTGAATATTGAGACATTGCATTTCTTAAGTGAGTTTATCGTTCGAATCACCTTGACTAGGTAAATTGAATACTATAGTATTTCTTTTCGGGTCAGCTCATTGAAAGTAGAGATATTATATTACAAATGTAAAATATAATGAATATATAATACCTGGTATAAAACTGTATCAACCAAATAAAAAACATAAATGAACAGTATTTTGTGTGGTTCTTTATGCTCGGAAAATTTATCGTTATTGCATTACAGACTATTTATGCTAAGCTATGGGTCGAATACTTTATGATTTGCTTTGTATTTCAACTATCTTTGCTATCTATCCTATTTCGTAGCCCTGACGTCACTGGAGCTGATACAAGAAAAAGCATCATGATTGATAACACCATATTATCATAAAACACTCAATTTGTTTATGTTCATTGAAGACTCGCATCATCCACGATATCCTAATTTTAATTTCTTGTCATGAGAGAACTAGAGTGTCCAATTTATTGCATTTTATTCTGCAAATTCTGCGAACAGAAAACTTGAAGAGCGAATCACCGAAATTTAATAATTATTACCCTACCTTGTAATTGTTTAAAAATTTCGTATAGATTATTTTATAATAAATCATATCGATTCTGAAAATTCTATATTTGTAGAAAATCTGGATGCACTACTGGGAACGGATCACGACACAATCTGGCAAACACACATTAACCAGTCGGCTTGAACTAATTTACATGGTTCTCATAATGTTCTTATTGATTTCTTGCTTGAAGAAGAAAATTGTCAAATTGAAAATGGTTAATAAAAATTTTCAGCTTGAAGCATCACATTATAACATTATAAGCGTCATCCTAGTTTAGATTTTAATTCGTCATAACGTTTTCTTATCTAAATATTTATTAATAAATTTTAATAAAATTTTCTAAAGTTTCTTTTTCAACATCAACTTCAGAAATAGGTTGCCAAATATAAATTAAGCTATTCGTGCCAAATTGGACAAATTTCCCTCAAGTATTCATTTAAATTATCATTTTGTTTTTGAATTTGTTTGTTTAAATGTTAAAATTAGATATAACGAAAAAAAATATTATTCAATTAATAATGCAGAGTTTAGTAATATAGAAATAATTTAATTATTAGCCTAATTACATGTATTAAATCATATTGTTCCTGCAAATGATGATGCTAACACTGCATGAGCAGCAAAATGGACACCTAATCTATATAATTATTAAGAAAAAGAGAAATCCTCTGTTTTATGGTCAACATTACTAATATTTGGTATTCTATTATCTAGTTTTAAATTTTCGTCACTAGATAGCCAAGTCAGCATACACATTTATCTTAAAACATATATATTAGGAATAACATTTATGTTACAAATTTTAATTTCATTGATGAATTTAAATCACATTCACTAGCTTATTCGCTATATTTGAATACGCTGGACACTCATGGTTAATGTCGCATTATCACATTACTTTAACTTCTCTTATTAATAATACTTTTTTATTTAACACATTTTAATCAATTTTTTTACTAACAATAAATAATCAATTACTAATAAAGAAATTTCTTTGAATCTATTACCAACACAATGTATATTTTATTTTATTAATAAAATGCAATGGTGCTGTAAAGCTATTATCTAATCACACTAAACGATGCTATTAGTAAAAATTTTAAAAATTCAGTTTTATCGAGAAAGATTCACAAGGACTGTTCCTAAGACAAACTTCAGTCTATCAGGATCATAATTAATACTTTGGTTTAATGATGTTTGAGTATAGTATGAAAGACTTGCTGAAAATATGTAATTCAAAATTGAATATAATTTAAAATGTTAATGATAAAAATTTAAAAAGGGAACAGCATTTACAATCCAAATAGTTCACAAGCCCGATAAACGAAATTTCGAATGAACCGCATCCCGACCCAGTGAGAAAATTTTATACATGTATAAGGCCCCCGTAATGCAATGCTATCTGCGATGTATAATAAACAACAATAGACCCTAACGCTAATAATGCGACCATATGTTTTATAAAAATGTTTCAAAAATAAGAACTGGTAACTCTAAATTCACACACTAATTCGAAAATTGTCATCCCATACATACATTTACATGTATATATGTAAATTTTAATCAAATAACGCGTCATTACATTATCGATCTTTAACCAAATATGCGAATGATAATGAAGTAATAACTAATGGGTCAAAAGTTGCCAATTATCTTTAACTTTTTGTATTGAAATTGTTTGGTTTAAACTTTTGGAATAACTAAATATATATTAAATTTTTTGGTTTAAACTTTGGGATATTTAAAAATATCACATTACATGTAATTTATACTAAAAACAAAAATAATTTATCATTTTAATAAGCCAATTAAATTTTAAATTTTGATATTCAATTATAAATATGAGATAAAATTTGAAATTTAAATTTTTTAACAACTATCTTATTAAATTATGTCAAATTTTTGTTACTACTATAAAAATCTTTAATTTTAACATATTAATTTTTATTGTATTTTAATTAATATTTTTTTTATAAAGAATGGATTTTAAAATTCAGCTCTCATTTAAAATTTGTTATAATTTATATAGAATTATAATAAAAACTATTAGACTTAGCTTTATATTTTATATTCTTACTAAAAATTTCAAGTAATTAATCGTCAAGCTAAAAAGTTATAGGTGAATACTACTGTAGTTTTATATGAATAGTCAAATCTCTTTATAATAACTGCATTGAGCTATTACTTTTTAGTTATAAAGTCATACAAAATATCTGGTACAAAAGATTTTTTAAATGACAAAATATAATTTTTTTCCAACATGATATCCATATCTTTCAAATTACTAAAATCATTAACTTTAATTTTTATTGATTAACAAATAAATTATTTGAGTCTCTTCTCTCATATTTTATTAATCATATTTCTGATAGCTAATATAAATTATATAGTGAATGACTTTTGTTTATATATATATTCTGCAAAATATATCTGAAAAAATTTCCAATATAAAATATAATATGTTAAGAATTTTTTATTAATAAAAAATTGTTTTATAGAAATTATATCTTATATTAAGAATTCAATTTAAACTGAATTGCTATAAAAAGTTTTGTTTAAAAAATAAACTGATATTATTATACCAAATTATGAGCAACAATTATTAATATGTATAAATACTAGTATAATTTTTTTTATCATTTTATATAATCTCATGCATTTTAATTATTATTGATTCTTTGACATTATATTTTCTTATTACCATAGTAATAATAAATTCCGTAATTCCTTAATTTTCCTTTAAAAACCTTAACATGACTATATTACTATATTCATAATAGTTAAACTTTTCCTGACCCATTAATTTTAATTCGTAATCTTCTTTAACTCTCTTAATATGGAGATTGCAACTATTGAAATATATGTAATCAACGTTTGATATCATATTGTTTCTATAATATTAAACGTGTAATAACTATCATTAACATAATAATTGATATTTTGCACTGCAAGAACATTGTAATGATTAAATATCCAACACTTCGTAATAATAGCTTTCACAATAATTGACATTTAACATTTCGTAATAATAGTTCTGTAGCAATTAATGTTTCGTGATAACCATTGTTATTATAATTAACCTCCCAATAATGTTTGATATTTTACGATCATCATAGTTACTACTTGAGTTCGTTTATTTTCTCTAATTATTTTTTGTTTGTACCTGTTATTTAGTAAGAAACGATGCCAAGCAAAGCATGTAATTACACGGTCAACAGAAAACATTGTTAAAATACCTTTTACATAAGATCAAGCTCATAACAAACACCAAACAGAAATCGATGTTGATTACTGTTTAAGATTAGTCACGGTCTAGACTGAGCAAAGGTGAAAATAAAATAAAAATATGTTAATTATCGAGTATTGCTATAATCAGTTTGTTACGGGATTAAATGATTTGATTTCGTGTTTTTTATAGATCAAAATCGGTAAGCAGCAATATAAACATGAAAACGAATAAAACTAATTTATCGGTAATTCTTGAGGTATTAAGTTCGTTTGCTTTATTTGGTAGTGGTTGGTATATACACTATGCTTTGGTAAGATTACATACCGTCATCTCACAATTTAAATAAAAAAGGGACAACATACAAAAGACCTGGGACCGCGCACAAACATACTGTTGTATATCCCACAAAAAGCAAAATCCTACGTTTCCCTTGATACCACTAGAAATGCGTCATTCGATAATCCGGAAAGCAAGTTAATTATAGTTATTGATTTTAAGTTTTTAATTCACTAAATTAACAACATCAACCACTTCCACAACACATCAACACGCCATTATTCGTATAGAGTATCGATATTAATATTTGTATTTGTATTTTCCTATCGTTATTATTCTCCTTATCGTTTGTAGATTTAATGAAAGACAATACCTATTTCTTTGGTGTCAATTTAACACTAGCTCCAAGACAAGTATTAAGGAATATATTTCGATATTTTATGGGCATGTCAGTATCAAGTAGCTCCACATTATACTTGCGATACAACAAAACTATCATCGCTTTCAAGGTAGTCATTGTTACCAATCGTCCGGGACATTCTCGCAATCCCATACCAAAAGGGATATAAATATTTGGATTTTTAATCTCCCTGTTCAAGAATCTCTCTGGCCTAAATTCGTTGGGATCTTGCCAGGCATCCGGATTGAAATGAATTGGTTGAATGTTGACACAAAATCTGGTGCCTGGTTTCCATTTGTATCCGCCGATTGTTTCTTCCTGAGTATTTGCTCTTTCGATCATATACATGGATCTTACGCGAAGAACTATTCGGATTAAACAAATATTTGTGAGTTAAGTTTGTAAATAAAAAAATAATGTAGAGTTTTTTACCTTCCCAGATTACCGCCTCGATATATTTAAATTGAGCAAGTTCTTCAATATTTATTGTATTAGTTTTTGAACTTGCATGATCTCGAATTTCTTTTTCGACTTGCTCCTTAACTCTGAGAATTCGTCCAATATATTCTATAATAAAACCGAAAATACCGGCCTGAGATTTCAATCAGGATAACATGTCAATTAAACGAAAACATTTATTAAATTCAATTAAATGACATAACCTTACCATAGTTGCAGAGGCCTGCATAATCTCTCGTAATGTGACCCGAATATCTTCTTCATCCATGTGAAAATTGTCGCCGCGATTATCTTTTTTATTCAATACAGATTTTTCTTTCAAGTCGAGAAGTAGATTCAATGCATCCGGTTTTAACTTAGAGTCGTAACCAATTTGTGCTCGTTGATCAAGACGTTGATGAATAAGTTTTTCATAAGCTCTTTGCCAAGTCTCGCGAGATTTAATATATCGTTGAGTACGACGAGCGAAAAGATATCGCCATACCAATTCGGATGACGTAAAAAAGAACATGAGCGCTTCTTCTATAACTGAATCTCCATGTTCGTGATCATCACAAAATTTCAATTCTTCGGTTGGTATTTCCTTTTTTCCTGAATTTGCAAGTGAATTGAAATACCTCGCCATAAAAGAGCAGCGCCTTCCAACATTCAAATCGTACATTAAATCTGTTAAAAAGTTCTTTGCCCATGCGGATAAAAGTAAAGCGTTATCATATCCAAGTAGTTTCCAGTATTCTTCCATCTCCGCAAAATAAATTTGCGATTTTTTTAAAGTCTCACGCTGAAAATTGGGTGACATTAATAGATTATCTATCACTCTACGAGTTGATCTCCAATGCGGAATATTTCCGTTAAAAAACATTCCTCTTTGTGGATCAGCGTAAAGGTCTAATCCTTTATTTGAGCCAATGATATAATGTAAAAGAAAATTGCTCTTTGTTGATTTCATTGTAAGCTTTTCAATTAGTTCCGATTTGCTCAAAAATATTTTACGTGTTGGTCCGAACCAGACTTCAAATATGTCACCGTATTTCTTATGAAGATGTGGCAACCAATGTTCCATTCCATCTTGCATTTGGTATATACTTCCGATGAGCGGTAAAGGAAATGGACCGGGAAGTGGATTTTCACGTGTAAAGTAATCAATGTAAAATTGAAGGGCATAGAAAATCAACAGAATAAAAAGAATATTGAAAAAATCTATCAGGCTCAATGAAATTAATATTGATATAAGAGTGGACATTATGAGAATTTCTTGTTTGTTACGTTACCGTAAGTATGATTTTAGACGTTAAAATCTTTTTACGTTAATTAAATAGCGATAAATTTGCATGTAACCTTGATATGTACATGTATGGTTACCGTAGTAATAATTCTTTATTTTTTCCTTAAATGCCTTAATATGATTGTATTCGTAATAATTAACCTTTGACACCACTTCGCAAATGTATTCTAATAATTAACATTTGAAACCACTTCGCAATTATGTTCACAATAATTATATTTAACACTTAATATCGTAATAATTAAATAATTATCATTATCGTAATAATTCACTTAATTATTATTATTATCATAATAATTAAAATTTAAGGATGTTAGATTTAATATCTAACACCTGATATTGATGTTTCTTGAGTTCATTTCTTTTTAATTTCTATTATGTTTTCTCCATTTTTTGTTAACACCTTTGAAAGACAAAACTAACACCAAATAATAATAACATGTAATTAAAGACTTGAAACATCTCTTGTATGAATTTTAATCTAATATTAAAAGTAAACACAGTAATTGTAGCATAAAAATTACTGCAGTAAGAAAATATTTCATCTGTATATACAGAATCCGTATGGTTTATAACGTGATATATGTGTTTTGCATAATGATGATGCGGTTTTTACAATGTACATTATAAAAATGTTTTTTACAAGATTACAAAATATTTAGTGATAGAAATCAAAAGAATCTATTGAAAAATTAAATTTTAAAAAACCGAATGATCAAATTCAAAAAGTCTGTAACTCTGGGACGCGATATCTCGACATCCAACGGTCCAATTTTGACAATAATAGAACTATTAGATTCAACTAAACTAGACGAATCCAATGCTTTCATTTCGGTGCAAATTGGACCATTGGATGTCGAGATATCGCGTCCCAAATTTACCGAATTTTTTTAAATTTGATCATTATAATGATCTAGACGTTTTTTTGACATGCAGAATTTGCAGTAATTACTGCAGCGAAATGCTGTAAAATGGACACTCTAACTTGGCCTTCCTCATGAACAAGGAAAACAAGGAAGACGCGAAAAAAATAAAGTTCTTACTTGCGATAATGTCTTTATTTGTGAATATACTTTTACTATTACATTCAAAGCTTACGTACAAGTAGTTTATTTATTTGTGTCAAAACATAAATTGATAGTGGGAAGAGCTCCACTTTTTGTATTTAATTTGTTGGTATTGGATAAGCCCAATTATTGAATTCACTCAGTGCTTTATGTTTGATCATTATTTTGCTGGCCTCGATAATAAATCTAACCTCTTTTACTTGTTGAAATCATTGTTAGTAGTAAGCAGCAATTACACATATTTTATTGATCTATTTTCCCAATACCCTTTTGACTATTTTATATAGCAATTTTTGTTAAAGCTACCACAGGAAATTTCTAGAGAAACCCTCTCCTTGTAAATTACTCATCATACAAAGGCAAAGATTCAAACAGATTAGGTTTCTTGACCACATATGATATAAAATATCCTTCATAAAAAGTTTATATTTAATTTAACCACAATATCACATGTATAGAAATCAAATCTTAACGTTAATTAAAATATGAGACTAAATTGGAAGCGTCATTAAACATACAAAGTGCTACAAGCAATTTTCTGATGTGCATGAAAAATATATACTATATAATATATAGAGAAATTCAAAAGATCGAAAAAGAGTGTTGGTCACATGATTCTTTAAGAGATAAACTAATCAAATCGCAAGATCAATGTGTACTAACAAATGTTAATTTTTGAAAATAGCTTGTTGCTTTATATGTTCTAATAAAAAGTATTCCTTGTGAAATTTTATGTTTAATTATTATATTTAATATAATCTCTACTTGAATCTAAGTCTAATTCCTAATCCAAATCATAGTGTTATTAATATATTATCAGTGTTGATCTTTACACATGATATCACAAGTACTTGATCACAGAATAATACCTGGATTATAGCTATGTTATCCAGATCAGATTATTAATAATATATATCTAATCATTATTATCAAAAGCTGATAAAAAACTAGTAAAATATTAATAGAATAACTTTAGATCTAAAAAGATAGTTATCATTATAATAATTAAAAATAATAGAGTAAATAGAGTAATAATTAGAATAATAATAGAAAGTATAAATAGATTAGTAATAATATTTTTGTTATCATATCATGTCATAAAAATTATTTTATCTCTATTTTTCTATTCTTTATAGCTTATTTAATATGATATTTAATAAATATAAATATACTTATAAACTAAATAATATAATTCTTTCAAAGAATTAAACTAAATATAAAGAAAAATATTTCAGTTCTAAAAAATAATAATAATTTTTAAATCTTACTAAAAAATTATTTAATGAGATTATTCTTATAAGTTTAATAAATCTCATATTAATTTTTTTATTTGAAATATTAATTATTTTCTTTCATAATATTATATTAAATATTAATAATTAATCACTTTAACTTAATAAATATATCTTATAACTTCTTAACAATCAGATTCTGAAAAAAAATATGTTAATAAATCAAGTAATAATATTATTATATATATAGTGACAATCAAAAATAATGTAACGCTTAAATTTTTTACTAATTATAATTAGTAAAATATGTATTTTTTCTTACATATAAAAGTTTTTAATTTTACTA